TGTGTGTGTGTGTGTGTGTGTGTGTGTGTGTGTGTGTGTGTGTGTGTGTGTGTGTGTATGTATATATATATATATATATATATAGGAGGTGATGGGGGAGAAGACATTACATTGTTACACTAGAATGAATAAAACTCTTCTTATTAGTGTTATGGACTTCCCCATATGGCTGCAATCAAGCCCTTTGGGTTCAAAACTTGCTCCTGTCAATCCTTCTTCAAGATGAGACTGAAAGTCAGAGAGGCTCATCTTAACTTTTTCTCCTGGATGCTCAGCAAGCGCCGCTCAGATACGGAAAAGAAGGGCCTACTGGACCTGAACAGGCTTCCTCTGTGAGTGCTCTAGGAAGAACACTGGCAAGTGGAGGAGCACTTGATCCAAGGAGTGGTTTCCTTTTCTTCACCAGATGGAGTTACTCCTTTCTACTTCCACTCAACCGGATAGTTTCAAAACAGTTCAGGAACTTGTGTGTCATGTGGTCGATAGGGTAGAAATTCCTGTGGAGGTAGTGCAGGAGAAAAAGCATAAGCTTCTTGACATTCTTCTCTCCTCCATGCCCAGAAGGCTGGCCATGCCAATTAATGTTAGAACCAGCAAAATAAAAAATAATAGACCCTGGCATCTATGGCACCTTCCTTAAAAAAAAGGCAGATATGTACTATCAAATCCCTTCAGGTGGGTTGAATATTTTTATGTGCACCCAGTTTGTGGGACTTGGTAGTAGCAGCTGTGCATGAAAAATCCAGATAGCAGGGATCCCCAAAAGTGACTCAAAGAGAAGGATCTGAAAAAAACAGATTTACCTGGGAGGAAGAAGAAAACACCATTGAGCCCGCAGATGCAAATTGCAAATTACCAGGTGTTCTTGTCAAAAGTAGGATTACATTAATTGGGACAAGGCATCACAATTTACTGAAAACTTCCCTCAAGAAAATAAGGAGGAACTGTTATCTCGTAGTTGAGGGACATTGGGTGGCTCAGATATCACTGCAGGAAACATTAGATACTTCAGATACTGCAGCATGTTCCATAGCCACCTTCATTGCCATGCACAGGAGTTCATGGTTACAATCTTCTAGAATACTGAGGGAGGTCCAGGCAACAGCTGAGGACCTCCTATTTGAAGGTTGTGACCTGTTCAGTGCTAGAACTGATGAAGTCCTGCGGTCTCTGAAAGATTTGAGTCGCTCTCCATTCCTTGAGTCTGCATGCCAGCTCCAAGCATGTCGGGTAACAAAACTACTCTAGACGAAGGCCCTCCGCATGTTACAGTAGAACCTCAGAGTTACAAACTGACAAATCAACCGCAACCCTCATTTGGAATTGGAAGTACGCAATCAGGCAGCAGCAGAGACCAAAACAAAAAAAGCAAGTATAGTACTGAGTTAAACGTAAACTACTGGGGGGGAAAAAAGGGAAGGCAGCATTTTTCTTCTAAATAGTAAAATTTCAAAGCTGTATTAAGTCAATGTTCAGTTGTAAACTTTTGAAAGAACCATCATGTTCTGTTCAGAGTTACGAACGTTTCAGAGTTCCGAACCATCTCCATTCCCGAGGTGTTCGTAACTCTGAGGTTCTACTGTATAATTGACAAAGATCATCAGAGCCACTGAGGAAGAAGTAGAAGGCCTTCTGCCTCTTCCTCTGCTATTGCACAGCCCGTATCCCCCATTACAGCAGCAAGACTGATGCTGCTGTCAAGAGCTTTTCAGAGCCTTTGGAGGATCTGTACCCTTTCCCACCTGACACCCCTTTTGGTAGCTTCCTCTTTATTTTCGGGTGGCCTGGAATTGAATTACCTCAGACCACTGGGTCTTAGAGATCAATGTGGGGTATTCCATTCAATTCAGACTCTTCCTGCCCCCCACCTCTCTTCCCCATTCCTCTTCAGGAGCCCCTCTTAAGACATACTGTTACAGCAAGAAGTTGGCTCCCTTCTAAATCTGAGAGTACTGGAAAGAGTTGTTTCTGGAATTCAGAGGGGAGAGGGGTTTTACGCATATTATTTTCTAGTCCCAAAGAAGGTGGGTTGTCACCCAGTGCTACACTGAAGATGTCTCAGCAAGTTCATCCATCATTTCAAATTGAGGATGGTAGCTGTCGCTTCCATAATCCCATCCTTGGATCCCCAAGACTGGTTCGCGGCTCTCTACTTACAAGACGCATACTTTCACATAGCAGTTCATCCAGCACACAGAAAATACCTGAGATTCCAAGTGGACACTTTCCACTACCAGTATAGTGATCTGCCCTGTGGTCTTTCAGCAACACCCGGGGTATTCATCAAGCACTTGGCAGTCATGGCAGCTCACCTGAGTAGACAAGGGATCCAGATATATCTGTACTTTGACAATTGGCTCATTCAAGGAAAGTCACCACTACATCCAGGCCTAGCATTGTTGCATCTGACAGCATGGTTAACTACTATTAAAAGAAGCTACTCAGGTCCGGAACATATTGGTGCGTAGCAGAAAGGACTCTACTAAACTGACCTGCGCAGGAAACTAGAAGAGGTTCTCTATTATTCTACACTATTTGCTATCCCTAAAGCATTCAGAGCTATCCATTAACTCTATAAGGATACATTTAGCAGCAATATCAGCACATCCTCCTATTTAGAGTTGCACCATTTTTTCCCACCACCCTGCAATAACTAGATTCTTTAAGGACCATATTTATGTGTCTCTTCCCGTCCTCCCCCATTCTTTTCCTGGAATCTTAATATAGTCTTAGTTTGGTTAATGGAGCCTGCTTTTGAGCCCCCTAGAAACATGCTCTGTGTAATACCTATCTATAAAAACTGCCTTTTTTTAGCAGCTGTAACAGCAGCTTGAAGGCTAGAGGAAATTCAGGCCCTCATGGCTGGTCCATCTCAAAAGACAAAGTGGCCATTAGACCTCATCCTAAGTTTTTTACTAAAATTGTCTTCAATTTTTTCATTTGAATCAGATGTTCTTTCCTACACCCCACTCCAACCAAGGGGAAGCCAAACTGCTCACCCTTGATGTAGTTAGCGTTATTTCATATTGCCTTGACAGAAAAGGCCATTCACAGAAGCTCCCCTAAGAGGTTTGTAGCATTTACTGATAGGGTGAAACGTTAGGCAGTATCTACCCAGTGACTGTTTAAATGAATATCTTGTTGCATTAGGTCACGCGATGACTTAGCTAGATTAGATCCACACAGGCAGGTTAGATCCCACTCTGCCCGGCCTCAAGCAGCTTCTCTGAGAAGCATAGCAATTTTTTCTAATGCTGAAACCAAGCTTGAAACTTGTCCATTTATTCTGATATTTTTAGAATGTTTCTACTGTCACGATAGAGGTAATAAGATCAAGCTGAAGCAATAAGTGGTTTAATTGAGCAGCAGAGTCTCATTGAGTGACTGTAATAAGCATTTGACTTTTGTTCAATATATTTTTAACACGCACAGATGTTTTATTTCTGACCTGCCCCATATGCAAGACAGTTTTGTGGATAAGCTGCTGGACTTAATGCCCAGACTGGTGACCTCCAAACCTTCAGAAGCGGTGAAGATCCTGCAAACAACGCTACGACAGAGCACCTTCCTTCACCTTCCTCTTCCAGAGCAGGTCAGTAATCCAGAGAGGAATGAAGAGCAGCCCGAGGTTCCAGGGTTAACTCTGTCCTGGTGGAGCAGGAGGCTTTTATGGCCTATTTGGCTGGCTAGTCATGAGGGATATTTCTTCAGCTATTGCACAGTGTTTCCAGGACTGTCCTCAAAAAGTTAAGGAGCTTGAATAATTTTTAGATAGTGTCAGGAATTTCTAAAAGTTGACATCGTGTTTTCTTAGATGTTTGTTTTCTCCTCCCCACCCTCTTCCCTTTTCCTCCCAGATCCACAGAGCTACTTCAACTATTATTGAACCTGCTGGCGAGTCTGATAACCCTTTGAGGTTTACATCAGGACTCGTGGTGGCATTGGATGTTGATGCAACTCTGGAACATGTGCAGGACCCTCAGAGCACAGTTAAAGTTCAGGTAATGAGTGATTCTTCCTAAAGGGAAACAAGAAAGTAAAGTCTTTAAGGAGAAGTTTGCATTTTCCCCTGATGCGCACCATAGCAATATTAGTATTTCTAAATTATAAATAATTGTGAACTTTAACAGCAGTGAGGAATTTTTTTGTGTAGCTAAACACAACAGTACGTTTAGAGACTGTCCTGACCCACAGAGTCCAGATCTTCACTTACCCAAAGATTGTAAGAGTTTGGTTTGAGCCCATCTCTTCTTACATAACCGCTAGGAACATCAGGTATGATATGTTGGATCACAACACTGGTCTGTCAGGAACACTGCCATGCCACTCTTGGATTGCAGACTCTTCAGATGGTGCCACCTTTTGTATTCAAAAATCACCTAGCACATTGTGAACATTAGCAGAAACAATTAATAAATGCCAATAGAAAAATCTGTAGTGGGATGAATAAAATTAAGGAAGCAGAAGAGGCTTTTCTCAAGGATATATAAAGATATAAGCCCATTGCTCTACTTATCTACTTAGTTAGATAAGTAACTAAACTGCAGGAAGTTAATTATTTTTTTTAAATGTCGCCAAGAGGATGCATGTGGAATGGTACTAAGTAGATTATATAGCCCTACAAAGTGTTCACTATTGGACAATTACCCAGTGTTTGGTGCAGGGGAGAGTGCCACCTTCAGTATATTTTTTGTATACCATGGTCCTGAATGGCTGTTGTATAGCCAGTAAAACTAGAGGATATTGAATCTTATCAACAAGATACACTATGCATTCCTGCCTTCCTAATGGTAGCAAAAAAGTACCCCCATAATGTGTAAATTCCAAGTACAGTAAATGTTGGATTGTTTTGCCTCTTTTTCCATAGGTATTATATCCAGATGGTCAGGCACAGTTAATCCACCCTAAACCATCTGACTTTCGAAATCCTGGTCCTGGAAGGCACAGATTGATAACTCAGGTTTACCTTTCTCATACTGCCTGGACAGGTAAGGAATAATCAGATTGAGTTTATATGCTTAAATGTTGCTGTATCTTTATAAACAGGAATGTATCTTTTTGTACCTCAGCGGTTTGGTACATAGGGTGCATCTCACACACACGAGAGAACCTTTTTGGAGGGCTTCTGTGGATTCTGCCATTGCCTCCTCCCACTGAGCTTCCACATCCTTGAGGAATCTCCTTAGTCCCCTCTTGACCCTGCAGGTACTTGCACTCCTCTGGCTGACTGATACTATTTGTTAATTAACCAGAGGGGCTGCTGTTTGACACAACACCTTCATGGACCTTATAGCCTTTAGAATGAGACACCAGAAACTAAACTGGGGTCACCCCTCTCAGCACAGAGCATTCGCCCAAGACCTCAGAACGTAGTGAGATCCTGGAAGACCAGAGAAGGGCTAATGTAGTGCCTGTAAAAGGGAGGAAAAGAGGAGCCAGGGAACTATAGACCAGTCAGCCTGACCTCAGTACCTGGGAAGATTAAATCTCAGGAAAAACTTCCTAACTGTAAGAACAGTGGAACAGACGTCTAGGGAAGTTGTGGAAGCTCCTTCACTGGAGGTTTTCAAAAGGAGTCTGGAGAGCCATCTGTCTTGGATGGTTTAGACACAACAAATCCTGCATCTTGGCAGGGGATTAAACTAGATGATCCTTGCAGTCCTTTCTCACCCTATGGTTCTATGATTCTACTATTCTGATTTAAATGCAAGCAGTCGTGTTAACATGATCCTGGTAATTCATTGGTCTAGATCAAGACAGAGAATTTCTGGAACTATGTGTACGCCACATAGTAAATTTACTGCTGATTTATGTTTACACTCTTCTATGCCAGGGTTTCTCAACCTTTTTCTTTCTGAGCCCCCCACTCCCCTATGCTATAAAAACTCCGTGGCCCACCAGTGCCACCACAACTGGTTTTCTGCATATAAAAGCCAGGGCTGGCATTAGGGCGTAGCAAATAGGGCAATTGCCTGGGGCCCCATGCCACAGTGGGTCCCGCAAAGCTAAGTTACTCAGGCTTCGACTTCAGCCCCAGGTGGCAGGGCTCAGGGCCCTGGGCTTCAGCTCTGAACAGCGAGCTTTGGCTTTCTGCCCTGGGCTCCAGTGAGTCTAACACTGGACCTACTTGGTGGACCCCCTGAAACCTGCTCGTGGCCCCCCAGGGGGCCTCAGAACCCTGGTTGAGAACTGTTGCTCTATGCCATATAAAAAGGCATTTATCCCTGATGAGATCTGTGAGTTTGATATTAATGTTCAATATTACTTGGTTTTTCATTTGCAACATGCTTCAGCAACTGGCAATATGGGACTCTAGTGGCCAGACCACCAGCACAGAGGTTGGATGTGACCAACGTATGACACCAATGCAAGATCAATCAGATGAAAATTCACTTTCTGCGTAGTATTTTGTTGTCCAGTCAATCAGCTGACTGTGTATTGTGTGTGTGTTAGTTTGGATTTTTTTCTTTTCAGAGCCCTGTCAGATTGAAGTGAGGTTACTTCTGGCGTACAACTCCAGTAAGAGCAAAGCGTCCACTAGACTCTCAAAATCCACCTGGATTGACAGCATGGAGGCTCTTCCACCGTCTGAATATGGCATTGAGGGAACCATACCATTCAGCAAACCTGTCAAAGTGTATATAATGCCAAAACCTGCCAGACGGTGAAGTCAATCACTAACAGACTTTATTTGTGGGATTGTTGGGTTATATGTAAACGAATTGCTATGTTCAAGATAGTGAATCAGACCAAAACAGTGTTACCGTTAATAATAATAATAATAATAATAATTAATAATTAATTTTAAAAAAGATACCTCAGAAGAAGACAGCTACAAAATAACAAATGGCATCCCCTATCGAGAAGCTGGTTGATTTTTAGAAAATGTACTAGTTTTTGCAGATGGTTGTGAATGGTTTCATTGAATACACAAATAGTTACATTCAATACACAGACATTTCTAAATCAAAGCAACAAAAACAAGACAATTCCTAATTAAGATTGGCATTCCCTCCATTAATATTCCCACTGGGCCAAATTCTGCAGTCCTTAATTACTACCTAGGCAAAACACCCAGTGGCTTCCCTGGGAGATTTTTCCTGAGCGAGTGGTAGGTACAGCTGGCAATATTTCTTATGCAAATATATAGTAAGGATGTAGATGCATATTAGTGTCTTATGACCATGATAAATCAGGCAGAGTTTTAGGCATGTCTAGAATGTGTATTCGTGCATTGGTCCTTGTATGCCCAGTAAAAATCCTTCTCTAAAGAGCTGTCATGCCGGTGCAGGAGGTACTTCTCAAAGTTGTATAACTTGGGCTGGCTCACACCTTGTGCACCACATTGAAATTAGTGGCGTTGCATGGGGTATTAATCCATGCCAAGTTTGGGGTGTTGTCTGTTTTAAAACAAAAAATCTGTCACCAACAATGAGACTTTATTTTGAAGACTTAGGTTGGTTACCTAACATAGAGTAATAGCAATGCAACATCCGTATAAAATCAGTGACTTACTTTCCTTTCCCTAAAACGATAGGGAGGCAATATATATTTACCCAGTGAACTTAAACTCTTCTTCTCAACTTCGTTTTGTGTGACTCCTTATGAAGAATGTGTGGCACAGGCTTAAGAGTTAATAGCTGTTTTGTTCCAGTATAATGCAGGCTCTTTTTGTAATCTTGTGCCGAGCTTATCTTGCTATGGTTAGATAATTAGCCTTCCAGTTTGTGCAACTCTGCATCAGTTTTGGTAGTCAAAGGAAGTCTAAGATCTGCTTCAGTAGCTGGTCACACTCAGTTAAGTGACATTGAGCTACGTTGTGCCTATCCTTTGAGAAGGTACAAGTGGTGGGATCAAAGGTATATGGAGATTTACCTAAGAGGTAGGCACAGTTTGCAGCCCTTCAGTCAAGGAGCAGGAGGATTGTTCTTGGCTCGTGTCTACTGGCCCATGCTCTGGGAGGTGTTCTACTTACCTGAGAGATGCTTCTGTTGGGAAGGTGTCTCTGTACCTCTCTGTAACACAGGGCTGTGCCTCTTGTGATTTCCAGCTATGGCAGATAGGTTTTACCAGAAGCACTTAGCCAAATGTTGCCTGTGTTCGTAAATTATTTGTAAAAATGTGTATTTGTAGCAAGTTAACTGAATTGCTAAAAAATGCTTTTTCACTTGCATACAAATTAGCATAAATAATTTTGCATAAAACTCCCTTTAAGTGTGCTTTTCTACAATAAAACTGAAACCCCCAATCTACCTGGTTTCTATTTATTATAAGAGTGAACATGTATTGCTGTAGGGGTTTGTGCTAATGAAAAAAGAGGTCACTACTTGTTTAGATTAAGATATTGGCACACTTCAGGAGTTGAGGCACAAAGCCAAATGCCTGCAACCACTCAGCTGTATTAGGTATTCCTGAATGAAACCTCACTTCGTAACATTATTGCTCTTACAAATTGTTTTTATATTTCACCTTTAGGGCCCTGGTTTGAAAACAGCCTGCAACAGAGTTACCAGCTAACTGCTGTGTGGCGGCCTAAGTTCAGTTCCCAGCGGACAGGGTTTGATGTACATCTCTCATTATGAAGCTGTATCCTGGGCAAATTCTTGATGTATTGAGCTACCTCCTGACAGATGTTCTTACCCTTGTTTTACACTTTGGCAATATTTGTATAGTTTGTCCTCCCAATAAAAAATTTGGATTCAATTTATGTCCATATTTAAAAAGCCACCACAACTGATACCCTCGCTAGCAGACGGACATGAGAATCCAAGGACTGAATGAGCCATGGAGAGTGAACTACCCGATCAACCCTAAAAGCTGTCCTGCCATGTCAGGGTGAAGCCTGTTGTTGGGCAATAGAAGGAAGCTTTGACAGCTGCTGCCTGTTTTTCATATAAACTATCATGTTCCATTGTTGTTAATGAGATGCCGTGCATGAGCACTGTATTTGGAAAGGGGGGAAAAAGTTACTTTTGCTGTTCTGGGGCTAAGAAGCTCTGAGCTATGGATAGCCAACTGGTTTAGGACCATTGATTAATCAGATTCTCCTTTCTGGAAATGTCCTATTGTAAATGGAGAGCTGGACATCCTTTCCTTATCGCTAAGCATTGTAATGAAAATATTCTGTTTAACTCAAGGAAGATAATGACATGATGGAGAATCCCTTATTCTTACATTAGGCTAGTGTTAACAATCAGCTACATGGCATGTAAAATATGAGACCAAAGTGTCCTTTCCCCATCTTGGTAAGGAACAAGGGCCAGATTTTCAAAGGTATTTAAGCACCTAGGAATGCAGAGAGGTGCCTAGTGGGAAATACAAAACGCATCTAATATGCATCTTTAAGCACCTAAATACCTTTGAAAATCTGGCCCTGAAAGACATTGGCAAAACTACAGATATGGAGAATCATAAAACTTCAGAGGGAGAATGAAGAGTCAATAATTTGTTCCCTTGCTTCCCACTGTATGTTCTCTGGTTCTAAATGATTCAAGCAATGGGGCTTCCACTGTCCTTGTGAGATTCTACATCCACTTAGTCCTTAAAGTCTTCCTGATGCTCATCTTCTATTTTTCTTTCATTTCATTACTCCTAGTTCCACCTCATTGCAAAATCCTAAGGAATTCTCTCTCTTGGGTGTCTTCTACCATTCAAACAGATGACGACTAATCCCCTTTTGTCATTGTTTGGCTCAGCTACTGATGGTTATACATAGTTCACTCTTTACAAATCTTGAAGTCAATTGCTGTGGCTCCAAACTGTGATTTTTACTTTGGCTCTCTTACTGCCTTATTGTTTGCACTGCACACTTATTTTATAGTTTGCTATCAGACCTTGCTTTCTTTTGGGTGCTGTTGCTTTTCTCGTCTTTTCCCTCCTAGTTAGCCTGTCCTGAGGATTATTTTCACCCAGATGTTATCTTACACTTTTCTGCACAGATTTCTGATCTGTCCAGGTCCTCCTATTATGTCTTTCGTTTTATGGGAGTTCTTATAACTCCTGCTAACTTACTTAACATATCAAACTATTTCTTTTAGGATATTGACTCCGTCTTTTTTGTATTTGATACTATTCAGGGTAAATTTTTTCTGGATCCTTTTTCTCCTCAGCTCTGAGGCATGTAGGCTCTCATCCTGGGATATGCTGGAGACAGTTCAGACTTTTCCATGAAGTATTTGGGACTTGGCCATACTACTTCTGGCATCATGGCAGACGTGCTTTCAGTCCTTCAGCTCTCCGACCTTATTTGTGGACCTTTCAGCTTGGGGACCTCCCACCCTGGTGCAAGCTAAGAAAAGGGATGGATCTCTTCTGGGGATGAGCAGCCTTCCCATAAGAGGGAAAAGAGAACCAAAAAGGCCATGCACCTGCACATGTGTGCAGCTCTGATCCTCATCTTCAGTGAGCTCTAGCTCCTTCCTTGGTTTCAGATCACAGTAACACTGAGCCAGACAAGTAGGAGAAGGTTTTCCTGGATGTGTGAAGCAGTGTAGATGAATGTAGTGGCCACCATGGAGAGCCAGCCAGAGAGAGGCTGCGTGGCCTAAAGCCAAGGGCAGATAACCTCCTCTTGAAAACTAAAACAATAGGCTATTCCCCTTCATAGAGGTCACTATGGAGGAGTGTGAAGCAGCTGACAAAGGGAAAAAGATGAACTGACAAGCTGTGAGATTCTACAGGGTTCCTGGTAGTCCCTTCTGATCCTTCCCAGGTTTGACACAGCAATGGCATTCCTTGTAAGACGCACCAATCTGTTGGGGAGGGGTGGTTTCTTCCCCAAAGACTCCACAGAGAGGAATATTTTAGAAGCCCTTAAAACTATCCTGGCAACCATGTATTTTTCTAGAGCCAGGATGTCCTGGTGTAACTGCTTCGCAAGCCTGGCTCTCAAACCACGATGAATTCAAGTCAATACTGAAGAAAATACTCGCTCCTGTGTTTGTGGCAGATGGATTTGGGGGCTCCATGAGGCTGGCAGCTAACAAATCTTCTATTTCATTTTGCCTGAAAATAAACTCGAAAGTAGGGAGAGATTAAACCCTAGGTGCTTGGCTAGCCCTGAGATATTCTAGTGTTAAAACTCTCCTTTTTCTCTTGGTTAAGAGGAGCCTTCACAGGGCACAGTGGTGCAGAGAAGGGGCTATGCAGCACTGGTCGTTCTATCTATCGTGTGTGTGTTAGTGTGTCAGATTTGTCCTGCCTCTCCCTGCTGCTTGATTCTGCACCTTGCCTCACAAAGATAAGTAATGTGTAGGCTGGGCTGCTCAGTGGCAGTAGGAACTGGGATGGAGTCTTGCTGGCACTGAGCCCAGAAGCGGCTCTGTGCTACAGAATTTTCTAGGGTGGGTGTTCACAGCCTGCTGTGAGGCAGACTCTCTTGCTAGCTGTGGTGGAGAGGGGAGGTGGGAGGGAGAGGAGAAGCAGTGTCTGTGGTTGAGAGCCCTGCCCTGGGAGTTCATACCTGTAATATGGTAGTTGAGGTGTTTAGCTTTTGAAATCTAGCCTGTTTTTTTGGACAGAAATCGCAATTTATCAAATCTGCCCATGTGGGATGTTTAAGGAAGCGTGGCCTAATTAATGCTTCATCAAAAGCTCCAAAATTGCCCTGTTCTCTACACTCCCCCTGAAGCTCTGGTATTGGCCGTTGTCTGAGACAGGATACCCGGGGGGGGGGGGAGGGGACGGGACTGCTAAACCATTGGCCTGACCCACTGTGGCAGTTCTTACATTTGTAGTGTGCTGGTTAGTTGACTCAATGGATATGTCTACACTGCAGGTGCAAGCAATCCTCCCGGGCTGGGTAGAGAGAGACTTGTGTTAGCTGTGCTCATGCTCATGTGTTAAAAATAGCACTGTAGACACTGTGGCTCAGGTGGCAGCTCAGGTTGGCCACCCAGGGGATTGGAGGGTTTCAGAGCTACCCCTCAATATCCACCTGGCTGTTGTTAGCATGTTAGCTCAAGCCTAGCTAGTTCCAGTCTGTTTACTGGGGCTGGGAGGCTCACTGCCAGCTGCAGCATAGACAAACCCAAGGGGGCCTGATCCAATGACAATTCAGCCAGGTGTTGGTTGGCCTATGTGTAAGGGATGGCAGGGAAGTCACAGATTCCGTGACTTTATGAGACCTGTGGCTTTGGCCAGAGCCAGGGCTGTGTCCCACCTCACCCTCGGCTTTGGTCAGAACCAGGGCTGGAGTCCCCCTTCTCCCCATGGCTTCAGCTAGGGTTGTATGCCCCCTGCTGTGTCCCAAGCTGGAGCTGTGTACCCGTGGCTTCGGCAGGGTCCAGAGCCAGGGCTGTGCCCCCCCGTGGCGGAGGGGCTGTGGCTGTCAGCCCCTCCAATGGGAATCTAGATGTCATTCTCTCCCTCCCCCTCCTACCCCCAGCCTTCTCTCCCCCGTTATATTTAGTAAAAGTTACTGGCAGGCCAGCGCTCCTGTGAATTTTTGTTTATTGCCCACCACCTGTCTGTGACATTTCCTAAAAATAACTGACAAAATCTTAACCTTACCTATGAGGCTACGGAAGCTCTGGCCTCATTAGTGACTAGCATTCCACAGAATTACTTTTTATGGGGCTGAAGGGAACAGCCACCCATGCTGATTCATATCACAACTGGGATCCCTGAAGATAGGGATAGAAAAGCTCTATTAGTCTGGATGACTTATGCTAATGCAGGAATTTGGTCATAATGGCAGGGGATGCAGTCTAACTGTATATAGGAAATCTACCTCCCTTTCCTCACCGCCAGCTTCAAAGGGATGGAAGTTACTCTGAGAAGAAACTTAAGATGGCTGCAGCATGAAGGTACAGTACAGGGAAGGCATCTGATAAAAGTCAATCAGAGAAAAGTAAAAGGAGCTAACTGCCCCAAATACCACGATGGGAATGGAGCACACTGAAGCAGCTTGAAGAGCCAGTAATGTGTTAGCCCCTTAAATAAACTGGGCTGCCTCTCATCTAGCCTCAGTTCTACAAATAATGGCTCCAGCCTGAAACTGGCTTAAATGTCATTTGCTATGTGAATGGGAAGATTGAAAGAAAATCAGTGTAGGAACGGAGTTGCTCATATGCATCATTTCTGTGCACATTATGGGCACCACCAGAAGTAGCTCAGATTGTTTGGTGGTGGGGCTTCTGCCAAGTAACTACTACTTGAGGCTTTCTGAAGCTTTGGCAGCTCAGGAGATTGCACATCATGATGGCTGGATTTGGGTAGGGGCCATATCCTGCTCCAAGCACTAAAGTACAGCCTTACATTAACAGTTTTTCATAATTTGCAGTGTCTTTGGAGAGAAGAACTTGTTCCATTGACTTCTGTCAGAGCTAAAGCCTCTGGGTCAGTGCTTTCTTTTATTGCTCACCACACCAACTATTCAGAATTATATTATAGCATTTGAAAATAACCCATCTACTCATTATACTGGCTGCCATGTCAATGAATGCAAAGACACCCAGAAAGAAGCTCCTGCTGTTTTAGATGAGCTACTGCCTCAACATAGCCCTAGCGTTGAAGGATATTATTGCAATTAAGAGAGATGAAAATGAAGTTTGTGTTTTACAAACACTAGTTCTTCCTCTTATTTGCTCTATGAAATCATTTACATTTAATTTAATACAAAATGGAGAAAAGCCAACGTTAAAGGAATTGTTTCCAATAACAGGAATCAGGCAGAGTTGTTTCAACATGACTGTACAGCACTTACCACAGTAGGACCCTTCTCATGGCCTCTGTGCCCTATTGTAATACATATAAGATGCAGATTTAAGTAACAGTTAGCAGTCCCTGTGGAACGAAACCAATCTTACTTACAGATCATTTATAATGGGGCATATTCTACAATAAGTCCAGCACAAGATAAAAGTGAAAAAGACGGGCACCATTAAATCAGGTTTAAAATCTGCAGCTTTTATTAAAAATCTACATGTGTGTTTAATGTCCAGCTGATCGTCAGCACCTAATCTAAAAATTCCAACCGCCATTCCCCAGCTCGTTAGCAAGGATCGGCCAGTCTAATATGCTGCACACTAGCTTTCACTTTCATTAACTATAAAGCCAGGGTTTGAAGTAATCCCACTGCTTATGCCATATGTTCGGGGTTTTTTCCCCCCCTTATTGAGGTGTACTACTACATATTGCTATAGAGGGCTCACTTTCTCACTACTAAGGCTATCTTTTCTTTAGCTCCAGTGACTTGTTTTCATGTAATGTAAAGTTTACAAATCATAAGTTATGAAAAGAGTATTCATCCCAAAGAAGCAAATACACCATCATTTCACTCTGCATGCACTGCTAAGAGTTTGGACAGCTCAAGGGATTAGCAATGGGAGGCAGAGATTATCACCATTTTTATACACCATTTCATACACATGATGGTAGTGGCCAAATGTGATCATCCAATAGCTATTGCAAATCTGAAAAGAAGTGAAGTCTCAGATCATTTCCTAACAGGTTTTAAAAGTGAATATTTTACTTCAGCAGCTAGGCCAAACATTAATGGTCAGAAGATGAATTACACCTTCAGATCTAGAGGATTAGGTCAAAATCACAAGTGTAGGGAATCATGATTAAATAGTCTACCATATCCAGCACTGTGGAAGAACATTTGTGAGCAATTAGATTCATTTAAATTCCATACTACTGTATTTCTCCTCTCTGTTTTAGGTCTTCATCCAAGCTTTGGTACAGTGGGAAATATGAACTATAAAGCCCCAATACTGACTATTATCATTTATTCAGTCAAAAGGCACAAGACTTTTTGGCTAAGAGGGAAAGAGGGTTGTATTGTTTAATTCATTAGCATGTTGAATGGAAGATGCCTCCCACTTTGACACCTTGAGCAACCAGTGTATTGTACTCCTTCACAGCCTTCTCTGTTTGCAGGACTAGCACATCAATCCCATTTTTCTTGAGATAGTCCACAGTAGATGCTGGTACCTGAGGAAGAGGAAAGGAAAAGGTAAGAACAAATGCTAGATTCTTTTCCTTGGTTGCTCTGGTTCATAAAAATGCTTAATTACATCTCGTTTCAAAAGCAGTAAAATAAACTTGTGGTAATAACCAAATTGGTAATATGCTGGGAATAAACTTTGAATTTGTTATAGTGGAGAGAAAGGGAATTTTATTTCACTGTCTAATAATCGCTGAAGTATGTCCATCTTGTTAAAGAAGAAGGAATACATGTTCCTAAATACAATTCTGAACTGTACTATTAGGAGAAAATTCAGGAGATAGTGGTGGAAGTGGCTGTGAATTAATACGTGTAACAGAATACAGAACTTCAAGTGTGGAAAGCATTACAAGGACGCCTCTGCCCATTTCGCTCAGCCCACCAAGTTCAAAAAGCTGAAGTGACACTTGGCAATATCATTACTAGCCAGGGTAATCAATGACAGACTTAAATTATTACAAGGGGAGGGGGTGAGAAGAGCCAGTTTACAATCAGTTTTAAGGGTTTAAAAATGAACACATTGTTTAAAGATTTTACAACCTGCAGGAATAGCAGCAGGTTGAAACCCACTTACAGTTTGACACTGGGCTGCCAATGTATCCGTATCAAATGAGGTTACTTTCAGCAAATGTCTCTACCCCCAAAATGCTGATTCTACATTTTTTACAACTTTTTTCGTATGTGCTTCTGGGCTTTATAAAAAACAAAACTGGTTCAGATTCTGGGGCTGAAGATGAACTAGACAGTTCTCTGTGAAGGTTAGAAATAATCTCTGCCTAAAGGGGAAAAAAAAATCAGCAGTTCCAAGGTGTGGTTGTGTCAGACCAAAAACCTACCTGCAAGGCCTCGCTCATGCCACGACCGATCACTAAGGTTTTAACTCCCTTCTTGACAACTTCTTCAAGATCAGCTGGCTGCACACCTGGAGAATGCTAAGTTTGAAGGAAAAAAAGTGCTACAGTTTTCATGCTGAGAGCATCAAACAGCAACTCTTCATCTAAATATTTTCAGCTGGCAGTGTCACATAGCATAGTAACGTTACAAGAACTAATTGACATCCCTTTCTTCCCAACACCCATTATGTTACACTAGCCAGTCAAAGAATACTCAAACAAGAGAACCCAGGCAGATCCATCATATCTGGTCAAGGCACTCTTACTGAAGGAATAGTGGAACTCTCAGAACCCATCCTCAAACCTCCTCCCTCCCCCCAAGGGCCAATTTCCTCCAGGACATAAATGAGTTCCTTCAGTAACAACCTCCCTCAGAACACCATCCTTGCCATCATACATTTCACCTCCTTATACACCAACATCCCTCACCAGCCTCACTGCCTGCTTCAAATATTGACAAGACAATGAACACTCCAAATCGCCACCTCAAACATCGCCAAACACCCATTTCATTCTTGCCCATAACAATTTTACATTCAACAACACTTTGTCCAAACCATCAGAACAGTCATGGGTACTAGGATGGCTCCCCAATATGCCAACCACTTCATGGGCCACCTTGAGGAAGAATTTCTGGAAAATTGTACCCCAAAACTGTTGATGTACGTACTCGATGGGAACCACACCCTGAAATAAATCTTTCCTGAACACCCTCTTCTGGCCTTTAAACAACCTCCCAACCTTGCAAAACTCATCAGCAGAAGCAAGCTCCATAGACCAGTACACATCAACTCAAAGTGGCACCAGACCCTGCCATAATGGGTTCAAAACCGGTAGACACAGCTCCACTGATGCAATGATCAATATCCCTCACAATACACCTTTCAAGTTCCATAGGTCCTACACATACCTGTTACATCATGTGGTGTACCTCATCCAGTGCATTAAATGCCCCAGTAACAACTATGTGGGTGAAACAAGACAATTGTTATGCTCCTGAATGAACTCACAGAAAACAAACAAAAACAAAAAAAACCACACCATACCACCCATAGGCAAATGCTTTTCATAAAATGATCACTCCATATCTGATCTCTCAGACCTTGTCCTCAAAGGACACCTCAAAGGTGCACAATGCCTTTAAAAGATGAGCCTGGGGGCTTAAATTCATAACTTCGCTAAATGCTATAAGCCATGGACTCAAAGACACTGGATTTATGGCTCATTACAACAATCTGTAACCCACTAATCCTCCTTTCTTCCATGACTGCAGAAGTCTTAACAGCCATTTCACCTTGAATGGTCTCTTGCAATATGTTACCTCCTTAAGTTTAATAATCTTTTCTACCTTGTATTTGGATGTGACACTCTGGCCATGTCTATACTACAAATTTTTGCTACTACATTACATCAGCCTAAAGCCACCAGAGTTAGTATATCACCTGTGCACATGTATGCTTGGCTTCTTGCACTGGCACTGTGTGTACTCACCAGGAATACTTGTGTCGATGCACAGTTCAGTGCACCAGTGGTAGGTATCCCAGTGTGCAACTCACCATCGTCTAGCACACCGTCTTTTGGGAAGTTATGACAATGCGTGATGGGGCAAAAACTAGTGACTCAGGGGTGACTGGGAGCAAGGAGGGGTCAACGTCCCAGCACACAACTTTCTTCATCTCAAGGTCATCTATATCCCATAACTTTTGCACCTTTAAAAAAAAAAATCCCATGAACCCGCACAGCCCTCCTTGCTGTCCACCATCTCTGACAGAAGCATGAAGCCTGCTCAGCTCTGAACTATTGTCATGAGCGTTGCAAGCACTGGATGCATCATTCTCTGGTATTTGCAGAGCTGCAAGAAGGACTAAATCGGCAGGGAACATGAGGATTTCCTGGAGGACAGATTGCTGTCAAACATGGAATCAATTCAGAGTAGTTGTTGGTATTCGCAGAGCATCTGCAGATGGTGGAGCACTGCTTCTGGGCCTGAGGAGCATGCACCCACTGGTGGGATCACAGCGTAATGCAGACTTGGGATGATGAGCCAGGGTTGCAGAACTTTCAGATGTGCAAGGCCACATTCCTGGATCTGTGTGCGAAGCTCTCCCCTGCCCTCCGGCGCAGGGACAGCAGAATGAGGGCTGTACTAACAATGGAGAAGTGAGATGCTGTTGTACTGTGGAGACATGCAACACTAGATTGCTACCGATTAGTGGAAAAATAATTTTGGAATTGGAAAATCCACTATGGAGGCCATTGTCATGCAAGCGTGCAGAGCCATTAATAGTCCCTGGCAATGCAGGACTGTGACTCTTGGCAACGTGCAAGACACAGAGGATGGATTTGCAGCAGTTAGGCTCCCTAAGTGTGGTGGAGCGATAGGTGGCGCACACATCCCTATTTTAGCACCAGAATACCTTGCCACAGCGTACATCAACAGAAACGATTATTTTTCTATGGTTATGCAAGCACTGGTGGATCACCAGGGACACTTCATTGACCTCCGTGCTGGCTGTTCAGGGAAGGTGCATGACGCTCACATCTTTAAGAACACAGGACTGTTCAGAAAGCTACAAGCAGGGTCTTTCTTTCCCAACTGCCAGATTACCATTAGCAATGTTGATATGCCAACAGTGATCCTGGGGGACCTAATGCCCCTTGCCCCCCTGGCTCATGACACCAAATACCAGCCACCTTGACAGCTCCAAGGAACAATCCTACTGGCTCAGCAGGTGCAGAATGGCAGTTGAATGTGCTTTTGGTAGATTGAAAGGAGGCTGGCATTGTTTACTCACAAGATTGGATCTCAGTGAGAAAAACATCCCAATGGTTATAGCTGTTTCCTGTGTCCTGCATAATATCTGTGAAGCAAAGGGAGGAAAAATTGGCGCAGAGACAGAGGTGGAGCAGCTGTCTGCTGAGTTTGAACAGCCAGACACAAAGATTATTAGAAGAGCTTAACATGGAGATACGTGGCTCAGGGAGGCTTTGAAAGAGCACTTTAACAGTAAGCCACAGTAATGTGTTGTGGTGTACTGTGCTCTACCTGGTCCTACTGTTCTGGGAAGAATTGTGTGGTGCCTGGTGCATATGTATGAACAGAACACTGTCAATGCACCTATTTAATTTTGTGGTGCTTGCTGTACATTTGATTATTACACTATTTTTGTCACTGAGCCTATGAGTTTTGTCACATTATACAAAACAAGTAAGTGGGGGCTTTCAATCCCACTAGGCACTCTGCAGCATATGTTGGGAACTAATAATGAATTATTCCAAACAATACAATTTTACTGAGTAATGGAAACATTGCAGGTGCTATAATGGAGTTCTCCGTAGACTGCAAAGGGAAGCAAGGCCCTGACTTTTGAACCTGTAGGTCCATAAGAGTCTGCAGCATCTGTGTATGCTGCTAGCCGGTTTACTGCAATGGTGCCTATTGAAGTTTTATTGTCAACTGGCATGGGAAAGCGTTCTACTGTGGAAGAAGAAACGAGGCTGCCATCCCTAGAAGCCTTCAGGAGAGGATTGTAGGGTACCACCACAAAAGTTACATCAAGCTCTCTCAGGAGGATGCTGGAGCCATTTCTCTGTACATAAACAAACTGCTCTGCACAGCTGTCCCCCTCCCACCTAACTACAGGGGTATGAAAAGCAGATTACTCATGCTAGAAGAGGTAGCGGTACAACAAGGAGAAGTAGAGTTAAGTAGTGAAAAGCTGTGTCCTGTTAAGTTGGAGGTGTCATCAGTACAATATTGTAATGGGAAATACATTTACACACTAACCCAAGGTTCCTTCCCCTTCTTGCCTGTGCTCGACTGACTGGACTGCAGTGGAGTCTCAAACAGATCCTGGCTCATGGCATAGTTTGATCCTTTCCTGGTTGCGTGTCCCCCGTCCTCCTCCTCCTTGCTGTTCGCAGCAGCGACGTCCGGCTCCTCAGAGGTATCTAGGGTGGTCTGCGGGGTGCTAGTGGGCTCTTCACCAAATATGGCGTGCAGCTCTTTGTAAAACTGGCAAGTCTGTGGCTTGGTACCAGATCAAGTGTTGGCCTCTCTGGTATGCTGACAGGATACGGTGTGTCTGGGTCATGCAGCCAGAATGATCACCTGGGCACGTCCACGCAATAGAGAGCTGCGAGGTGGGCTCATCAAGCTGGACAATCAGGAAAAAGCACTTCAAAAATTCACAGGATTTTCAGGGGTGAGCGAAGGGCTCCCAGTCTCCATGACTGCTGGGCAACGGAGTTCACAGTCGTGACCAGAGCAGTCACTGTGGAGCACTGTGGAACAGCTGAGCGAGGACAGTTAAGATCAACATAGGTAATGCAGCGTCTATACTTCTGCAGCAGTGATCTCAGTACAACCACCATGACACAATGACACTCGGAGAGATAGTGTTAATGTGTTGCCATGAGGGGGCGTTTTCAGCGATGGGAGACATGCACAGTTAGATTGACATAAGACACCTTGCCTCAACTTAACTTTGTAGCGTAAACCAGGCCACTGTGTATCTTTCCCAGGCCTGAAGAAGAGCTTGGTGTAAGCTTGATAGCTTGTCTCTTTCACCAAGAGAAGTTGGTGCACTAAAGATTCTCACCCATCTTGTCTCTCTAATATCCATGGCTACAACAACACTGCAAAAGGAGGATACTCTAGGTAGTTTAAATGTACCAGTGAAAGAGGATTATCATCAATTGACCATATGATTGAGATGCTAACATACTATATAGACGGCTATAAACTGAGAGGATGCGTAGCCCCTCTACACATTTATAAAGTATTTCAGTTTGGCAGCTAACGTCTAAGATACTAAAAATTAAATGAATGCTGTCAGATTAAAATAACAGCAAAAGTTTAGTGTTAATCAACAAAACCTTATTGAAGTTAATAGGATTACACAGCTGTGACAGAGTAAAGTTTACCCCTCTCCTTTAATTAAAAAAAAAAAAAAGCCCAGATTATTAAAACTGAAAATGTTAAATGCAACTTTCTACTTGTTTATATTTTTTTATTTTGTGAATTTCATTAGTATGGA